GTAAGGTGTTGCAGATGCCAAAAATGTTTAAGTGTTCCAGGAGAGGATGTCAGCTCAGGGAGGAGAAATCAATAGAATATTGATAAATACACTGAACAAAAAAGTAATGTCCAAATTTGTTAAGAAAAAAAAACCTGGCTTAGGGAGTCCCTCAGCTGTTAATGGTTTGAGGCTGGGAGGCTCCAACACAGGCTTCCTTATTCTTGTGTAAATCATAGCTAATGACTTGATGGAAGCATGCAGATTTCCATGCTGTAAATATTGTCCTTCCCTTTTCTCCAAGTGTTTTTATAAAATGTAAGGAAACCGCTCCTTAGTATTAAAGCTGAGCTTTCAGAAGTTACTAAGAGCTACTATTTAAGCAGTTATATTAACTCTGCATTATGATTTCATTGTTACAGGCTACTTCTGTACAAACCTTTTCAGTGTGGAACAATGAAACAGTTTTAAACATCTACCATTCATGCAACTTGTCCTATATTGTATATTTTACACAGTCATTCTAAAATAATTTCTTTGAAATCTGCTTTGTAGAGTACCTTCCACAAACCAGCAATTTCACATACTTACCTGTCACATACTAATCTGCTATATTAACTGTAGAAAGTTTGCTCTTTCTGCAGTCTGTACTTCTGTCTTAGTTTGTGTACTGCTCAACGGATTATTCTGCAAGCTATCCAGTGAACTGTAATTTTATTTCTGTTTTGATTTGCTGCATGAGCTACACCAACACAACTGATTTTTTAAATGTAATTAAACATTTCTTTGGTTGATCTTTGAATCCTCAATTTAAGTGTTCTTCTCTTCACTTGCCTCATATCAGTTGTCTTCCAGACAGTAGCTTTTTGTTCTCTGCCTCAACCAGAACAATATCAGGGGAAGATATTAAAAAAAATTCTTGAAGTTGATTAAAGAATGAAGGGTGTTATTACTATGTTAAGCCAACCTCTTGGAAGATGCTTGTAAGGATAAAACTGATAAGGTTCTTATTGTAACACATAAAAAAATTTTTGATTGTAAAGAGGATTGCTATGGATGAGTAGCCTTTATTTTAATTTATGCACAATAAAGCACTCCAATGTGATATGATATTAAAGCTTTATTTTGTGTCTCTAGTCCCAGTGTTTGAGTCTAAATAATGAACCAAAATTTTAACAACTTGGTTCATGGTTTGGTAGATTAACACGTATTACATAATCTAGCTGTGACAAGGAGTATCATTTTTATGAATGCTCCGATATTAGATGCTATATTTATAGCTGAAGACAGAAGACACTGTGAAACAAGGCTGATTTTAAAAACCTGTGGTAAAACAGCAAGGTATTTGTGGAGTATGTGACAGTTTTGTTGCTATACACTTTTGAACAGAAATAAATATGAGAACATGCACTCAGCTTATAGTTGAGGTACAGTGCTTTGTAGTGAACAGGTAAGACAAGAACATGTAGCTGTGACTTTTCACTTTAGAATAATTTTTGTTATAGTGTGTGTGTGGGTTTATTTTTTGTAATTTTATGTATTTCAGTGTCACAGAAATGGGCTTTTTAGTGTAGATGTTACCAATAGGCTCTCTGGTCTGATATCCTTAAGATAAAGATAACTTCTGTTTTATCTTCTAGGGTAGCTTGGGAATGGGTTATTCTGAAACTACATGTTTTGGGGAGCTAATTCTGAACTTCCAGTGCCTTAAGGAGGGTTTAAGTCCTTGCTTTTCTTCTGTGGCAATCGAAATGTTTTGTGTATGAATATGAAAGCCGCTATATGTAGCAGTTAGGTTACTGTATTAGTATGTGGATTAGCAGCTCTGGAATATAGCCATCTTGTGGCCAGGAAAGCAGCCAATCGCCTGGAGGAGAAATGTTTTAATTAATATGTAATTACTGCTCTAGAGAGCTCTCATTATTCTGGCGAGCTGCATTTGTAATTTTTCATATTACTTATTTGGGACAGTTGTTGTAACTTCTATTTTTAAAATTGTGGAAAACAAGTCATTTTACCTTTTCCATGCTGAGTTAAAAAGTATAGGAAGGTGTAAAAACTTGAGCAAAGTGAAAATAAATTACTTGTATTTATTGAATATGCTTTGCATTTGTTGAATATGTTTTATAGCCATCAATTTCCTCATGGGATCATGATATTGTAGCAAGAATTATTTGCCTTAAGGAAATTAACCATTTACATATGTGCTGTTCTGTTTGTTTTAATACCTTTTGGTGCTATGTTTTTTCACAAAGGATGAATACAGTAAACTTTCTTGAACTATGCATACATATGAAGTTAAACTTCCAGGAGCATGCTTTTCATTGAATAATAAAATATTCAATAATTGTTGAATAAAATATTGAATAATTGTTTATACAAGATAAGCCAACAGCATCTCTTTAAAGTTGCATTTCTGTAGGACACAAGAGCCTTGTATTAAATGAAAGTTGTAACTTAAAGAGTTCCTGTTTCTGTAGGGTAGATAAATGGTAAAGCGTGGGCTCCCACTTCTGAAGTGCTTCAGTAAGACCGTTGTGTTGCAGTGCGCCTCCTGGAGACAGAGGTTTCTGTTGCCTCTTTGTCCCCAGACATGGGCACACATCCAGAATTTACCACCTTTCCCAGGTTGTGGTTGGCTTAGCCACCACAAGACCAATCCCCTAACACCCATTGGACCCCTGACCTGTCAGTAACCCATCCAGGTATTCTTACAGGACAATGCCTGTGTAAACCCACCTACCAACCTGTTAAAAACCCCTGGCCCCAAGGCCACATGCTCTTTCGCTTCTCCCCTGGGGTGGGTGCTGTTTCAATGCCTGCCTCAGGTGTTTTTGCTTGTTATTTTCGTGTTATTAAAACCTTTTATTTTGGAAGAAAGCGATCGTTGCCCATCCCTCCTTTACTCGCCACTGCCCTCCTCTTCGCTGACGACCACCCTGGAGGTACTACGGGGGTCCCGCTGGGGGTGTTTTCTTCCCGGGCAAAACCAGTGGGTTTAAAACCCTCGGCAAAATATATTTTTGCTTAGTTATACAGTTGTCCTTCCTCTTAACTGTCTCTGGGGTTGAAAATCAGTGGAAAACTTTCTTTTCTTTGAGGCTTTGCCCATCATTGCTGTAATGAAAAAAAAAAAAGAATGAAGTGATAAGAGAAGCATATTTCTTTTATTAAGTGGCTGGAAGCGTGAAGAGACAAAATCAGGGTGTCATTAACTGAATGTAGTTTGAGGTGAATGTTTTCACATCGGGCTTTTATATTTTAATTATTGTATTAGCTGTATAAGCCATTAAAAAGTACTGTGAACTATTTGATTTCACTTAGGAGAGTGATAATTGAATCACAGCCTATGTTAACTGGAAATTAGGAATACTGGACTCATGTCTGTGGCTTTGAAGTTATTTAGTCTGCGACTTTATGCAAACTACTTAAACTGTTTCAATTGCCCAGTTTCTTTGCCTATTTCTCACCATGAATGGGGTGCATGTGAGACTGGATTCTCATAACCAATAATCTCTGGTGGGGTTGTGCAGTGCACACTTGCCTTTATTTTCTCCTATCTAGGTAGAAAGGCTGGCAGGAGGTTCAGCCTTTCCTAGGTACCTGCATACCAGTGTGAGTCTGATGAGAGTGACTCTTGTAATACCCACTTCTCAAGCTCTAGCTGCCTTTTCTCTCAGGCTTGCAGATACCCCAGGTCTTAGGGGTACTCTGGATCTTAGTGCTGCCCTGTAAGTCATGCAGAGGTGCTACCATTTATTGAGGCATGGGTGGGGTGTGACAGGAAGCTGTGGACATTCTCCCTCCTAGCATTTGCAGTTGCCTTTGGACAGTAGAACTGCAGGCTCTGTACAGCTCAGTCTGGGAAAGGTAAGGAAAAAGATGAGGAGTCTTGTAGAAGTTGGACTTAGAAACTTTGCAACTGACTGCTTTCCAGGCTTTATAAGAGCATTTACTCCTGTCTCCTTACAGATTGTATTTGGCTCCTGGTGCTGCAAGACAGCTACCATCTGGGTTGTCAAATAGGATGGTCTCTTAAGTCTTCTCTTGCCACACTCAAGGTGTGTTTGAGTTTTCCTTGACTGCAGAGTTAAAAGAGAAAAGACAGACCTTTCATCAACTGGGTCTTTGCCTTTCAGTCAGTGTTACAGGGGCCTTGTTCTTTGTAGTCCTTTGCGCTCTCCCTTCGTACAGCTGATGTTTCTGCTGTGGAGGTGCAAGGCTGGCAGGTCTGTCTCGTCTGGGTTATGCAGGAAATGCCCGTAAAAGTACTTCCTCTTCAGATTGTGCCTTAAAACTCCACTGTGTCTGTCACAAGCTCAAAAGGCACCAATAACCCCCCTCCTACCCCCAGACATTTAGGTCATGGTTCATTGAGATCACTGTTAGCTATAAAAGAAAGGTTTTATTTCTTCTGCTCTCCTTTCTGTTTTTCTCTAACCATCTGTTATCTTTTGTCTTTCATTTATATTGTGAACTCTTTGAAGAAACAGGTTTTTTCTTTGCTTTTTGTTTTGCTGTCTTTTTCAGTGCCTTTCACAATGGAGTCTTCATCAATGTGCAGGGGTCATTGGTACATTAACGACAACACTTCTGACTCTTGCTGTTGATAGATACACTTGCAAATATTCTTCATTAGGTCTCTTGGTTATATTGCTCTTGCCCTCCAGATAATTTTATTTGCCCTTATTGTTGGATCACAATTGTATATCTGTGTCTTTAAGAGAGATGTTTGAACAAGCTTCCAGTTGCACAGATTTAAATTCATTCCAGGTTGAAAGAGTTCTTTAATCTTCTGTACAATTAAAAAATAAATGAAAATATTTTTTTCCAGTGCATTTTGCATCAGCAGTTTTTCCGCTACATGTTTAGACCCATTATTTTCTTTTCCAAATAGTTGGGGACATTTACCCACCTGAATGTATTTGTTGTTACCGTTGTGCTATGGCAGCTTGCTTTACCTTTATTGTCTTGGAGAACTGTTGTTGTAACACCAGTAACGTGTTTGAAAGAATGATAAGATGATAAAAGGTAAATGATGCAATTTTGAACACCTGTATGAAATGAAGCAGAAAGTTGACTTTTAATACAAAACAAATCAAATTCTCTTCTACCTAAGTTATTTGAAGATGTGTTTGGTACACTTGGAATTAAAAACAAACTTGTGGCTAAAACTTTAGTGCACTCACCTGAACTGAATCTCACTGATCTAGAGATTCACTTATAAACAAAGTACAGTTTTATCAATACAGGTAATGCTGGAGCAGTATCAGGTGTAGTGATAATTTCCCATTACATATGGGAATGGTTGTACTAGCTCAAGCTTGTTTAAAGTAAAATCATATTCCTAATGTGTGTATTATAGTATAAAATGCTATTGTTTGTTTACTCATTATTAATGTTTAATATTATCTAGATCTATCTACAAGTTAAAAGCTTGTTTGAATTTTTTTCAGCAAGCCTAGCTGTTAAAAGTCAAATGAAATGTGCTAATTGATGTCAGAATGGATATGGAGTCTCAAATGTATCTTTAATAGTATAGTCATCAGTTAGAATACTAGCTTAGTTACTGGAGGAATAATTGATGTTTGGGTTTAAAAAAAAAGTGCAAGTAATAATAACTTAAGTAATGGCATTCCTTGAGCTGGTACGGTCTAAACTGGTTGTGTAAATTGGACAAGCTTTTTAATGATGTTAGGTAAATATTTTTAAAAATGTATTTAAATACTTTCAAAATAGTTACTCAGTTGTTACCCAGCTTTTATCTAAGATTTTTATGTTGCTGAACTAAAACAAATACCAGCTGAATACTTAAATCACTTAGTCTTCTGAAATGCTGTCTTTTTCTATTTTGCAGCATGGGTGAGCTCTCTTTCTATGGGGATGGTCTTCTTCTGTTCTCCAATAGTCAGCATATTCACAAACCTGTTTGGCTGTCGAAAAGTAGCTGTTATTGGAGCTGCAGTAGGGTTTGCTGGACTCCTTTCAAGTTCTTTTGTAAGGTAAATGGTTCTTTACATTCAAAGTATTTCATCAGTTTTACAGTGTAGAGTTAATGCTGATCCTATCAACAGAATATGAAGGAGCAAACAGTGCCTATATTATCTGTTAGAGTAGAAACCTTTTGTTTGTTAGGTTTTGTCTTTCTGGCTGTGACTTGAGAACTCCAAGTGGTACTTACAACTTCAAAAGTAATTTTAAAAATAAAATATAACCTTTTAACAGCACTCATTATTGAAGAGGAACCACTATGTATAAATTCATCAACAGAAGACGACTAATGCTGTAAGATCAACATCATTGTCCTGGATAAACTTGTATGTTTGCCTAATGTATGCTGTGTTTTAGCAGGTACATAAATGTTTCTGTTGTCCTCCCCTGCCTTGTCCCCTCAATTTGCTTTTGAAACACTGTTTTAATGTTGATACATAGGCAGTAGGACCTCCAGGAAGGTGTTAATGTTTGAGTAAAATATTGCTGTTTTTTTCTATTCTTACTGATCCAATTGCCAAACAGAGGTAGTAAAAACCTTGGTATAATGACATAGATTTAGGACTTATTTGTTTTATTAAGAAAATCTCAGATCTTTCTTGTTTTACTTAAAAAAAATTGAACAGCAGTTGTATTGTGTTTTTTCTTGAGATTACACTCCATTTTGTACACTTCTGTAACTTTTGCAGAATAAATCTTAAGAAGTTCAAGAGCAGCTGTTTTGTTGGACATGCCCAGTAGAAGATGAGGAAACAGGATATTTACTCACTCTAGTCATCAGCAGAAATTGGTTAATGAAGGTAGGGTAAGAAGCAGCAGCAAATAAGCCACAGATACTTCTACTTCTCAAGTTTGATTTTTTTCATACTCTTAGCAGAATAAGGCCAGGTACAATCAAAAGCAAAATTCAGAAGTTTCCTACACAGAAGAAAACACCTCTACAGACAGCCTTGTGAAAGTGTTTGCTACGCCTGTGCTCTGAAGCAGATGTGAGCTGGCTGTGATCTGGGTGGCTGAATTTCTGTGCTGTGTGGCACAATGTCTGAGCTAATATGTCTAGTTTGGACATATGTCTCCTAATGTGAAAAAATATCCACAAATTTACAGGAAGACAAATAATTCTGTCTTAAGTACCAAGACTAGTGTTTATATTTAATCTGGAAATCACTTATAGGAAAAAAAGCTTTATCTTCTTACTTGAGCAATTTTCTGATTTTTGGTTAATCCAAGTGCAAAAATTTTTCTTAATTTTATTCATTTTATTAAACAAACAAAAAGCCCACTTCCTGATATGTTTTAACAGGCTTCTTAACACAGGTGAGGTAAAAAGTAAAAGAATGCATCTTGGAAAAGTCTTTCTTCCTCTTCACCTCCCAGTAGTGTGTTAAGTGGTGAATAGTAAACAGTCTTCATTATTATAAATTAAATCTCTTGATAAAGGAAACGTGTTTTCTTCCTTTGAACAAAATGCTATCATCCTTGTGTTGCCCTGATATCCAGTGGAACAAGGACACAGAAGAGGCATGCAGAAGGAAGTTATTTCTAAAAGGTTCTAAAAATCTTTTAGCTTAATAGAATTCTGTTTTAGAATTTAAGTAACACTTTGAGAGGAGAGGTGAATTCGTGATGTGTTAATGTAAGTTCTTGGTGTTTCATTGTTTACACTGAAATGATTTATACCTATGATGTTATCAGTTAATTGAGGGAGTATAGTTCAGATATGGAAGTCAATGTTGTGAAAGTAAAATATTGTAGTATAGATAAATGTAAGTGTGATGTACTGCTTTTGTTACATACAGATTTCTTAATATAAATATTATCCCTTAGGAAGCTGAAGTGTAAGAGTATTTGTAATGCAGGGAACTATTTTACTAAGTATGTCCTACTGCAAACTCTTTGAATCTGTTTGGAAGCAGAAGTTCCCTGTCCTTACTGTATTACGTTCTTCCTCTCATTTTAACCTGTGTTTTTATTTTTCCTGGTTATTTCCCTTTGATAAAGGTAATATGAGCTGAAATGTTTCATTCTTTATTAACCTTTTTTTTTCCCCTGTTCTTCCTTAGCGTATGAAATAGCTGGATCAAAACTCTGAATTTAAAATGTTTAATGAGAAGGGGATTGTCTAAAAAAAAAAGTAATGCCTAAAAAGTCTATAATTGGCAAATAATGTACTATATTACCAGAAATTGACAATTTTTTTTCTCTTTCATTGTTTGCTACTCTTGCTATTGTATTTTCATAATAAACTATGTAAATACTTGCTTTTCCTGGGTTCACGAAGTGTTCAGTATCACACTTGGACTGCTGATACAGTGAGGAAATGTCAATCAAACCAGAATAATTTTATTGGAAAAGAAAAATAACACCCAAATAAAGAAGAACCACCCACCCCCGTAATGGGTGAACTTATATTTGGCTAATTCAACCTGACAACAATTTTTAAAACTTTGTTTTAGTCAGACTATTTGGTGTAATTATACTTAAATATAATTTTGCCTTTTTAGCTGTTCAGTGAGTTCTATGAGATTTTTCAGTGGGAGAAAATAGAATAATGGCTGAATTAAGGCAGCACGATGTATTTTAACTAAGTATATAGAAACTCGGAACGAACTTCTGTAAATACGTCAGATCACTGAAAAACTGTCTGGGTATGGTAGGTGAATGTGAGCATCCAGTATTATACAAAACACTAACGTTTTTTTCTCTTTTTCTTTTGCTGCAGCACCATTGAACCTCTGTATTTCACCTACGGGATCTTATTTGCCTGTGGGTGCTCGTTTGCCTACCAGCCGTCCCTGGTCATTCTCGGGCACTACTTCAAGAGGCGGCTGGGGCTGGTGAACGGCGTCGTCACGGCAGGCAGCAGCCTGTTCACCGTGTCCCTGCCCTTCCTCCTCAGAGCTCTCATCGACTCTGTCGGCCTCTACAACACCTTGCGGGTCCTCTGCGTCCTCATGTTCGTTCTCTTCCTGGCTGGCTTCACCTACAAACCTCTCGTTTCCACTGCCAAAGGCCAGGAGGGAGGAAAGAAGGGAAAGTTCAGATTTCCTCCTGAGAAAAAGATTTGCAACTTCTCCGTTTTCAGAGTTCTCAGTTACCGAATCTGGGCTCTTGGGATCCCAGCTGCACTTTTTGGATACTTTGTGCCTTATGTTCACCTGGTAAGTGCATGTTTTCTTCCTCTTAAAGCACAATGTATTTAAAACTACAGCTATTTCTCTCGGTGTCATGGACTAAGGACACAATTGGTGATATGAAGCACAATTTCAAGTACAGGTTGTGTTGGGGAGAAACGCAAAATTAATTTTGATGGTGTTAGGGAGTTCTAATCAGAACTGTTCGTGATGCCAGTTAAAATTTAATTTCTTATTCTCAGCTTAAAGTTTAAAATACTTTAACCATGAAAAGAGACATTTGAAAGTTGTTCTGTACTATTCCAAAGAGAATTCTTTATATTGGTGCTCAGCTGTGTACACTGGCAATGATACTTGTGCACTTCAGAGGAATAATGGGAGGAGTAAATAGCATGTGAAACTTAAGAATTTTGCTCCTTTAAATTTGGGGATGTTTGTTAAAATGTACACTTCTAGGGTATATCTTACTGACTCTTTTCCAGGTTTATGAAAAGCAAAACGCTTGAACTTTTGTCTTTCAAACTTTAGCTTTGTCATTTACTTCTGTAGCACTAATATAACTGATCCTGTTAACTGGTGCTTCTAGCTGCCTATTCAGCTCGTTTAGCTTCTGATGATGGGGAAGCTGTCAATCAGCCATTTCTTATATGTACTAAAGGTAATTTGTTTCCCTAGCAGAATAACTTTCTGTCTGTAGTACACTATTATTCTAAGAAATCTTGATGCAGCTGGGAGATACATTACAGGAAATGTGTCTGGCTAGCACTCATTGCACTGCTTATATGGTGAATTATTTTTGGATAGCTTCTTGGTGGTGCAGTCTGAACTGGAGTGGTATAGACCAGAATGCTTTAAAGGTAAAGAGGAAAAAGACCATCACCTGCAATGGAATGCTTTATTTAGATTATTACACATCCTCATATTCAAGAGTATTTGATAAAGAGCATGAACTAGTAAAACTAATACCCACTATGAAAACGGAAGGGATCATATTAATATTTATTAGTCATCCATGACAAAACAGTGAGATTAATGATAAATGTCTTGAATTCTGTAAAAAAATATTAGCTCCTTAAAGGCCCATGGGTTTGTAGGCAATATAGTAAGTGGTGGTGTCACTGCTTTCTGGTAATGCATTGGTTAGATTACTGACTCTACATCCAAGATTTATTTTTAAAATTACCTTAGGGTGGGGGCTGATAACTAGCTCTTGTTAGTTTTTAATCATGTAGATCTTATTCTGTAACACTTAAAGTGATAATATTTCAAAGGACTGTGCAGTCAAAAGACTAAGTTAATGTGACATCTAATACTAATTCCTGATGAGTTTTGTAGAGGTGTTTTTAAATAGGGTTCAGAGAAGTAGAAGGGAAGTGTTGTAGGTAAAGCTATTGGATAGATGTAAATCATTGCTGACACTTGGAGAAAACTGAAGAATGAGGCTATACAAGCAGTCACACAGAACCTCTAAATTACTTTTATTTAACAAAAAGCTAGTAGGTTTTTTTTACCAAGGCACTTGTACAAATGCTTCTTGTTTCTAGATTGGACTAAAACTGCTGGCCAACTTGTGGAGGACAGACCTCTTTGTATCTTTTTTTCATATTATATAATTTTGCTTTTTATGGTGTGCTTTCACTCCTGTTGGTTGGGTGCATTTTTCACCCCATATCAGATCGGCATAAATTCTGATTGCGAAATACAGCTGCAGTACAGGAAAACAACTTCATCAAGGCTGTTTCTAATACAAATTTTGATAATGCTATAAAACTATTCCAAAGTACAGTCAGAATCTAATATTTTAAAGCTTAACTCAAAATTATGCTAAAAGATTTAAACTCCAGCTGCTTTTTTTCTCAGAGTTTGAGGAACCATGAAGCTTAACTATTTGTAACAAAATCTTCAATGGTAGTTGGTTTTCTTTGTATGCTGCTTGATAGAAGTTTCACCAGCTTTTAAGAACTCTTTACTGATAATTTTTTTTTTATTCAAATGCCCTCTTGAAATGCACAAGTTTTTGTTTTAATTTACTTGTCTCTAAATACTCAATTTTTACTATATAATTCCCTAGACCTCCTGTAAGCCAGAGAGGAAAAACTTAATGTATAGTAAGCTCCCACTACTTTTAAATAAAAGCATTATAAACAAGAATTTCATTTAAACTTTCATTCTTGGCCTTGCAGATAGCATTATTAAGTGGAAAATCACTTGATTTTTTTTTTCTTTCATCTTTTAAAACATATGATTATTTATGATTCAGAATCCTATCCCAAATTTAAGTACCTTTCAGTAAACATGAAAAAAATCACTGGAGGATTGAAGTACTACTTAACTTGTCTTATGTACCCAGGACTCTTGACCATATTCTGAAATACTTAAAGCGTAAATCAAACTTTGATCAGTGAGTGTGATACGGATGGTAAGAAACAGTATGAATTGGAATAAAATTTTGTTTTTATAGTGATAACCTATGTAAGTACCATTACTGTTAGATTTCTGTTTGCCTATGTGCATGGCCTATTAACTACTGCTAGGTGCTCATTGATCTTGCAGAAGGCTTGATATACAAATAATTTAATAAAATAAACCCTAGCTTTACTGATGTTGAAATGGAAAAATGAAACTTGAATTTCATAAATACCACTTCCAGAATGTGTAAGATTTTTCTAACCTTCAATCTTAGATCAGTGCCTAGGATGAAAAGATTATTAATGGCTGCAGATCATGTATTTAAGACTATTTCATAATTATTTTGTATGTGATTGCCAGAAATGGATAGCTTCAGTAGCAGACATCTTTGGGACAGAAAACAGGAGTTTGTGTTGCTGGGTTGGAGGATGCATTCATAGGACCAGCAGCAAACTTGCTGCCTGGGGCTTAAAGAGCAAAATGTTCTTGCATCTAAACCCACCATTTCTGTAATTATTTTTACGTGAACCTAAACTCATGCAAGAATTCAGGTTAGCTTTTAGAACTAAGCAAACACTCATCCCTCAAAGTTAGTTAATAATTTCAAAAAGTGAAAATCTTTTTTAATTTAAAGAGGTATATAGTTTTATGAAAACATGAATAACTGAAGAACTATAGCACTTATTGCTGATGGGTAATGATGGATGCTGGGGGGACTGTTTTAAAACCTTCAGTCCCTGTGGATCCATATTTGAGAAAGTGAATAGATGAGTGTTCATGAAGGAACAGCTTGGGTTCTGCCCTTCAACACAGATACTTCAGTAGCTCTGGACTTTTATCCTAGTTTTGTCTGCTTTTGAAAAAAACCACATTTTATGCACTTCCAGAAGTACATAAAAGTACATACCTCCAGATAAGTCAAAGGCTCTGAGAAAAAAACAATTTTTTCTGGTACTTCTACCAAACCAGAGGTTACTTTCTTCAGCTTTTGAAAATGAAAGTTACTATCATTCCATTATTTACTGCATTTTAAAAGTTGTAGCAATGCTAGGAAAAGAGATGATAAAGTGACAGCTTTCATTATGCTAAAACTCTTGAAAACTTTTCCACCATTAGAGTTGGCTGACTGTAGCCACACTGCTAAAATGGGATGCTTGTTGCAGGTGTCCTAAGAAAAAACACTTACACGTGGAGCCTCATGCCTACAACTACAAACTGCAAACCTTAGCCCTCAGGCCTGGTTTCTGTACTTGCCATGTCCCATGTTCCCCACCTGGAGAGGCAGCTTCTGTCAGTGTTGGGTTCTCCTGACCACCTGATGAAACAGATGCCCCAGGCTCTGCTGGTTGGGGCGGGTGTGTGCCACCGGTCAGGTCGGTGGTGACTGGAGGCTGCAGACTCAGTGGGCTCTGGTGGTGCCCGTCAGCTGCTGTTCTCTGGCCTGGCACAGCAGAGGAGCTCCTCGGGTCCCCAGCAGGGTCTCTGAGTGCTGCTGAGGCCAGCCACGATTCCTCTTCCTCTCTTGTGTTTTCTGAAGTGTGCTGGAAAGGAGGATGCGTGTCGTGAAACTTCTAGCAAGAAAGAAATAAAAGCTCGTTTTGGAATAGTAGAATTAGTCAGATCTTTGCAATTTTAACCATCAGCACCATGTTTGCTTAGATATAGTAAAAGTTGTCAAAACCAGAGATTAAACAAACTACCAGTCCTTGACTGGTAGATATCAGCTGCAAGTGAAATCATATTCCTTTTGGTTCTTGCAGGGGAGAACCAAAAAGGGAGAGCTTTTCTTACCCCAGTTTATTTGGTGTCAGATTCCATTAGTGGATTTTCCATTCCGTGTGACTTTGGGGGAATGGGGTTGGGAGAAACAGCGTAAATAGGTTTTGACTTAATATATGCTTTTACTAATAATTCAGATTATTGTAGAGCAAACTGGTAATTGATAGGATTACCAAATCAAACGGTTGTTATTCCTCTCAATTTTAAGACCAGTCTAAACTGCAGAGACTAAAAGTTTTCTTTTTATGTTTCTAAAATAGGCAAATAGACAAATGAAAAACCAGTCCATTCAGGATTAAGTTGTGAATCAGCAACAAAAATCTGTCAGATGAATGCAAAACACTCGTTCCAAGTTATGTTTGATAAGGCCTATCTCACAAGGGAATGATTAAGTGTATCTGAAAGAGGGTATGTCTGTTTCTGTGCCACTTGTCCTGTGCTTGTTCTGCTAATAAACAGAGAACTTCAGTTTTTCAGGAGTCACATTCTAATGTTAAATGTTTAGTGCTATTCTCTTGTAGCCTTTAAAAAAAGTATGTACTTCATTGGGGTCATAGGTTGTGAAATCTTACAAACCTGTTAGGTCAATTCTGTTAAAATTTTATACGAGGTCACGTGTTAGGTAGTTTAAAAGGTATGCTGTTGTTGCTTTTTGTGTATACTTAGCAGGGTGAAAAATACTGCTTAAAATGGGTGTTGGCACTGCTTAGTCCTTTCTAAGCAGTGACTAAGGTCACTAAGGTTCAGTGTGAGTTTAGGGCAATATTAATGAACACGTTTACAAAAAAAAAGAGGCGGGCAAGTATTGTATTGTGTTTTGATACAGCAATATTCAACCA